GCTCCATCGTGTTTTGAAGCAAAATGGTACACGTTTAAGAAAGTTGAGGAAAATAAGGGTAAATAGGGGCAAGTACGAAAAATGTAAGCAACGTCTCCGGAAAGACTTGTTATCGAACACGGCACCAGTTTGATGTGGATAAACCTAGAGTAAAGAGTCAAGGCTCTTGGGCTAACCTACATTAGAGTGCATTAAGGTCATTCACGCCATATATTTATCGCCCTATCGTTTTTTAAAGCAAAATGGTACATGTTTATGAAAGTCGTGAAAAATAAGGGTAAATAGGGGCAAGTACGAAAAATATAGTCTCCGGAGAGACTTGTTTTCGAACACGGCACCATTATTTGATGTGGATAATATATATTTATCGTCCCATCGTGTTTTGAAGCAAAATGGTACACGTTTAAGAAAGTCGAGAAAAATAAGGGTAAATAGGGGCAAGTACGAAAAATATAAGCAACGTCTTCAGAAAGACTTGTTTTCGAACACGACACCATTATTGGATGTGGATAACATATATTTAACGCCCCATCGTGTTTTGAAGCAAAATGGTACACGTTAAAAAAGTCGAAGAAAATAAAGGTAAATTGGGGCAAGTACGAAAAATGTAAGTAACGTCTCCGGAAAGACTTGTTTTCGAGCACGGCACCATTATTTGATGTGGATAACATATATTTATCGCCCCATCGTGTTTTGAAGCAAAATGGCACAGGTTTTAGAAGTCGAGAAAAATAAGGGTAAATAGGGGCATGAACGAAAAATTTAAGCAACGTCTTCAGAAAGACTTGTTTTCGAACACGGCACCATTATTTGATGTGGATAATATATATTTATCGTCCCATTGTGTTTTGAAGCAAAATGGTACACATTTAAGAAAGTCGAGGAAAATAAGGGTAAATAGGGGCAAGTACGAAAAATATAAGCAACGTCTGCCAAAAGACTTATTTTCGAACACGGCACTAGTTTGATGTGGATAAACCTAGAGTAAAGAGTCAAGGCTCTTGGGCTAACCTACATCACAGTGCATTAAGGTCATTCACGCCATATATTTATCGCCCTATCATTTTTTAAAGCAAAATGGTACACGTTTAAGAAAGTCGTGAAAAATAAGGGTAAATAGGGACAAGTACGAAAAATATAGTCTCCGGAAAGACTTGTTTTCGAACACGGCACCATTATTTGATGTGGATAATATATATTTATCGTCCCATCGTGTTTTGAAGCAAAATGGTACACGTTTAAGAAAGTCGAGGAAAATAAGGGTAAATAGGGGCAAGTACGAAAAATATAAGCAACGTCTCCAGAAAGACTTGTTTTCGAACACGACACCATTATTGGATGTGGATAACATATATTTAACGCCCCATCATGTTTTGAAGCAAAATGGTACACGTTTAAAAAAGTCGAGGAAAATAAAGGTAAATTGGGGCAAGTACGAAAAATGTTAGTAACGTCTCTGCAAAGACTTGTTTTCGAGCACGGAACCATTATTTGATGTGGATAACATATATTTATCGCCTCATCGTGTTTTGAAGCAAAATGGTACAGGTTTTAGAAGTCGAGAAAAATAAGGGTAAATAGGGGCATGAACGAAAAATTTAAGCAACGTCTTCGGAAAGACTTGTTTTCGAACACGGCACCATTATTTGATGTGGATAATATATATTTATCGTCCCATTGTGTTTTTAAAGCAAAATGGTACACGTTTAAGAAAGTCGTGAAAAATAAGGGTAAATAGGGGCAAGACCGAAAAATATAGTCTCCGGAAAGACTTGTTTTCGAACACGACACCATTATTTGATGTGGATAATATATATTTATCGTCCCATCGTGTTTTGAAGCAAAATGGTACACGTTTAAGAAAGTCGAGGAAAATAAGGGTAAATATGGGCAAGTACGAAAAATATAAGCAACGACTCCAGAAAGACTTGTTTTCGAACACGACACTATTATTGGATGTGGATAACACATATTTAACGCCCCATCGTGTTTTGAAGCAAACCGGTACACGTTTAAAAAAGTCGAGGAAAATGAAGGTAAATTGGGGCAAGTACGAAAAATGTAAGTATCGTCTCCGGAAAGACTTGTTTTCGAGCACGACACCATTATTTGATGTGGATAACATATATTTATCGCCCCATCGTGTTTTGAAGCAAAATGGTACATGTTTTAGAAGTCAAGAAAAATAAGGGTAAATAGGGGCATGAACGAAAAATTTAAGCAACGTCTTCGGAAAGATTTGTTTTCAAACACGGCACCATTATTTTGATGTGGATAATATATTTTTACTGTCCCATCGTGTTTTGAAACAAAATGGTACACGTTTAAGAAAGTCGAGGAAAATAAGGGTAAATAGGGGCAAGTACAAAAAATATAAGCAACGTCTCCAGAAAGACTTGTTTTCAAACACGACACCATTATTTGATGTGGATAACATATATTTAACGCCCCATCGTATTTTGAAGCAAAATGGTACACGTTTAAGAAAGTCGAGAAAAATAAAGGTAAATTGGAGAAAGTACGAAAAATGTAAGTAACGTCTCCAGAAAGACTTGTTTTCGAATACGGCACCATAATTTGATGTGGATAACATATATTTATCGCCCTATCGTGTTTTGAAGCAAAATGGTACACGTTTAAGAAAGTCGAGAAAAATAAGGGTAAATAGGGGCAAGTACGAAAAATGTAAGAAACGTCTCCGGAAAGACTTGTTTTCGAACACGACACCATTATTTGATGTGGATAACATATATTTTATCGCCCCATCGTGTTTTGAAGAAAAATGGTACAGGTTTTAGAAGTCGAGGAAAATAAGGGTAAATAGGGGCATGAAAGAAAAATTTAAGCAACGTATCCAGAATGACTTGTTTTCGAACACGACACCGTTATTTGATGTGGATAATATATATTTATCGCCCCATCGTGTTTTGAAGCAAAATGGTACATGTTTAAGAAAGTCGAGGAAAATAAGGGTAAATAGGGGCAAAAACGAAAAATGTAAGCAACATCTCCAGAAAGACTTGTTTTCGAACACAACACCATTATTTGATGTGGATAACATATATTTATCGCCCCATCGTGTTTTGAAGCAAAATGGTACACGTTTAAGGAAGTCGAGGAAAATAAAGGTAAATTGGGGCAAGTAAGAAAAATGTAAGTAACGTCTCCGGAAAGACTTGTTTTCAAAAACGGCACCATAATTTGATGTGGATAACATATATTTAATGCCACATTGTGTTTTGAAGCAAAATGGTACACGTTTAAAGAAGTTGAGGAAAATAAGGGTAAATAGGGGCAAGTACGAAAAATGTAAGCAACGTCTCCGGAAAGACTTGTTTTCGAACACGACACCGTTATTTGATGTGTAACATATATTTTTATGGCCCCATCGTGTTTTGAAGAAAAATGGTACAGGTTTTAGAACTCGAGGAAAATAAGGATAAATAGGGGCATGAACGAAAAACTTAAGCAACGTCTCTGGAAAGACTTGTTTTCGAACACGGCACCATTATTTGATGTGGATAATATATATTTATCGCCCCATCGTGTTTTGAAGGAAAATGGTACATGTTTAATAAAGTCGAGGAAAATAAGGGTAAATAGGGGCAAGAACGAAAAATGTAAGCAATGTCTCCGGAAAGACTTGTTTTGGAACACAACACCATTATTTGATTTGGATACCATATATTTATCGCTCCATCGTATTTTAAAGCAAACTGGTACACGTTTAAGAAAGTCGAGGAAAATAAGGGTAAATAGGGGCAAGTACGAAAAATATAAGCAACGTCTCCAGAAAGACTTGTTTTCGAACACGACACCATTATTGG